CACCCCCACCCCCAGCCACCAGCAACCACTATTCTGTCACTTTAGTCTGGCCTTTTTGAGAATTGGGAAAGACAAACAAGCTCATAAAGTTGTAAAATAACTCCCACATGATCGAAATCAGCTAGCTCTGAAGGTTGTGATCTATCTAGACCAGGGACTATTGACACTCTTGGCAATTATTGGCATTTGGGGCTGGATAATTCTTTGTTGTGGCTGTAGTGTGCATGGCAGGATGCTTAGAAGAATCCTTGGCCTCTACCCAGTAATTGCCATGGTAACCCCAATACCACCACCACCCGTGGTGACAAATAAAAATGTCTCCAGATGTTTCATTAAAAAACACCCCCTGGGGGGCAAAATCACCCAGTTGAAAGCACTGCTCCAGACAACACATAGTTTTTCATTGAGCACAAATTTTCCCCCATTTTGGCCAAAAGATAATCTCAAAGAAAACTTATTCTTGATCACAAAATAAATCTGGTCTAAATCTTTAGCAGAAAAAAGGAAACAACAAAGAGTAAATTATAAATTAATGAAATAGAGAATGGTCATGGCACCAAACTGTCTAAAGAAAATAATTCAATTGAGACAAATAGAGGTTATAGGCTTTATTCAGCTGATGGACATCAGGGAGCACCTGAAAACCCAACTCTGAGCTGGCTTGGAGTTTTTATTGAATAAGGAAGAGAGGGATAATGTCATTGTTTGGCTTGAGTAGCAGGTTTCATCTTTAACTGCTGCAAAACTTGTGGTTGGAATAGTTGGGAACTGTTCCAGATTTTTGTGTCTCATGGTTGACGCCATTGGTACAATCTTACCCCAACACTGTCCAAACAGTTCTTTTGAAAGCTATTTTTGCAAGCCTTGTAGTTTATTGGTTAGCCAAGATTCTGGGACAGGAAAGGTATCAAAAATAATATGGGTAGGTTATTGCCTGGGGCTCAGGGGAAGGGAGAATGGGGAATTATTGTTTAATGGATATAGTTTCAGTTTTACTTATGGGGATGGATGACAATTATGGATGCAAAACAATGTGAATGTATTTAATGCCACTGAACTGTACACTTAAAAATGGTTAAGATGGTAAATTTTATGTTAAGTGTATTTTACCACAATTAAAAACAAAACTAAGTATAGCCACCTTCTTGATGAGGTGCCTTGGCAAAAACAAAGCAAAATAAAAATCTACACTAATAAAAGAGAAACATGCAAACTGGTGTCACTCCACTACGCCCACCAGCCAATCAGAGCAACTATGCATATTAGCCCAACAAAGATGGTGGTTAATTTGCATACGCAGGCGTGGAGCGAAGACTGAAGGCTCCAGCCGGAGTGAAGACTGAAGAGGCTTGGCTTCTCCACTGTGGCTGCAGTGGAGAAGCCAAGCCTTGCTGCAGCAGGAGAGGAAAAGTCAAGCCTCGCTGCGGCTGAACAAAAGGCCTGGGTCCCGGGTGCCAGAAGAAAACCGGTGCCAGCAGCCAGGGGAAGGAAGGCCTATTGCACGAATCTTCGTGCAACGGGCTTCTAATAAAATTTTAAAGAGAGTGATGGAATGTTAACAAAACAGAAAAGTAAAAAAACAATATGGAAAAGACAAACAAACAATATGGATGAACCTTAAAAGCATCATGCTAAGTGAAAGAAGCCAGACACAAAAGGCCACATGTTTTATTATATGACTAGAGGCCCGGTGCACAAAATTCGTGCACTGGGGGGTGGGGTTCCCTCAGCCCAGCCTGCCCCTCAGTCCGGGAGCCCTCAGTGGATGTCCTACTGACGGCCACAGTCTGGCATCAGAGGCTCGAAGCAGGCATCCCGTGTGTGTGTGTGTGTGTGTGTGTGTGTGTGTGTGTCCCCGCTGGGGGTCTGCCCCCAGCCACATTGGAGGCTCAGAGTAGGCGCTGTATGTGTGTGTGTGTGTGTGTGTGTGTCTGCTGGGGGCCTGCCCCCAGCCACACCGTGGAGGCTTGGAGCAGGCACCCCACTCTGTTGATCTCTCAGGCTCCTGGCCTCCACTGCGTGTTGTACTCTCCCTTGAGCTGTGGCCAGGGTGGGGTGCTGCCTGCAGGCCACGCTTTCCTGCTCACGGATCGCCACGGCGACCCAGGAGCAGGCCTTGCTGGGTGCTGCCTACAGGCCGCACTTTCCTACTCACCAATCGCTGGATTGCCAGGGCACCCGGGGTCAGGCCCTGCTGGGTGCTGCCTGTGGGCGGCACTCTCCTGCTCTCTAATTGCCATGGGGTCCCGGCTCGGGGTGGGGCTTAGGCGGCACGGGGCTTAGGCGGCACACGGAGGGTCCCGGCTGGGGGTGGGGCTACACACAGGGCCTGAATGGTGGCTCACTCTGTCCCGCCCTGCCTGCAGTATGCAAATTAGCTGCCATCTTTGTTGGTGGCTAATTTGCATATTGCGCTGATTAGCCCATGGGGGCATAGCGAAGGTACGGTCAATTACCATTGTCTATTATTAGATAGGATTCCATTGGCATAAAATATGCAGAGTAGACAAATCTATAGAAAGGAGGGCAAATTGGTGGTTGCCCAGGGCTGGGATGGGGGAGGGATGGGGGGGAATAAGAATACATGGGTACAGGGTTTCTGTTTGGGATGATTTTGAAAGTTCTGGAACTAGATGGTGATGGTGGTTGCACAACATTGTGAATGTACTTAATGCCCCTGAACTGTACGGTTTAAAATGCTTAAACTGGTGCATTTTATATTATTTGTACTTTACCACAATTCTTTTAAAGAAAGGGAAAGAATAAAAGAGGAAGGACAGCAGAGGAAACTGAGGATCTTCTATCACATCTGTTTTAATCCTTTTTATAAACGGTTCAAATCCAGAACCTATCTCTTCTTTGGACTGACATTGTTTCCATTCTTCTTTCATTTTTCGTGTCAGGTGGCACCCAAAAATGCTGGAATCTTCTTGGCAAATGCCGCCACACATGCTTCAAAAAGGAAAGGATCTATGTTTACTGCACAAATAGTAAACCGTGCTGTGTGAAGCCCAAGTATCACCCAAAACAACATCCCTGGTTATTTTGAGTTCTCTGAAGCCTAAAGCCGTAAAAATACAGATGAAGCTATTCTGAGTCTGATCCCCAAAGATTCCTGAATTCTATCAATAAACACCTCTGGCTGATTCCTGTGTTAGCCTGTCACTCTACCTTGCCCTTACCCTACATCACAATACCTGTTAATATTTCAAACAATGCCTAAACTGGTTTGGCTCAGTGGATAGAGTGTCAACCTGCGGACTGAAGGGTCCCAGGTTCGATTCCGGTCAGGGGCATGTACCTGGGTTTCGGGCACATCCCCAGTGGGGGGTGTGCAGGAGGCAGCTGATCGATGTTTCTCTCTCATCGATGTTTCTAACTCTCTGTCTCTCTCCCTTCCTCTCTGTAAAAAATCAATAAAATATATTTTAAAAAAATATTTCAAACAAAAGATGTTCAAAATTTTTATGCAGAAAATTAGAAGCCCTTATAGAAAGCCTAAATTAATAGAGAGATATACCATGTTCATGAATTAGAAGACTCAATATCTTAGAGATGTCAATTCTATACCAATTGTTTCCTAGATTCAATTAAATTCCAACCAAACTCTTTCTTTAAAAATATTTCCCCCAGAATTTAATCAAAATTGTGCACATATAAACAAATATTTTGTTAGAGACATAGACATAGATGACAAAACTATTAATAAAGCACAAATGTAAGTTAATGGCTAACTCTAAGAATATAGGAATTGAAAGAAGTAATGCTGATATTCTATTTTTTTAATCAGGATGATAGAAATAGAGATATTTGTTATCATTGTTTTTATACTTTTATATTTTTTAGTATTTTTGTCTTCTCAATATATAAAAATCAAGCTTTTTAAAAAAGAGAGATAAAAGCTATGAACATTAAATGCCTTAAGAATTGTAAGACCGGCCGAAACCGGTTTGGCTCAGTGGATAGAGCATCGGCCTGTGGACTGAAGGGTCCCGGGTTCGATTCCGGTCGGGGGCATGTACCTTGGTTGCGGGCACATCCCCAGTAGGAGATGTGTAGGAGGCAGCTGATCGATGTTTCTTTCTCATTGATGTTTCTAGCTCTCTGTCCATCTCCCTTCCTCTCTGTAAAATATCAATAAAATATATTTTTTAAAAAAAAGAATTGTAAGACCAGAAAAAATAATGAAAAAGCTAAATCAGTCAAAAAATCCTAGAAAAGAAAATATTTGAAAATTGCACGTTTTATACAGGATTTTTTTTTCCAAAATATGTAAAGAACTCTCAAGATTCAATTAAAAAAAAAAAGGCAAACAACCCAGTAACAAAATAAGCAAAGAGTTGAACTGACACTTCACCAAAAAAGCTATGTATGTGACAAATAAAAACATGAAAATGTATAAATATTGGAGAAATGCAGATTAAAATTACAATACAATATTACTGCACACATATCAGAATGTCTAAAGTTAAAGCAATCGACCATAGCAATTGTTGACAAGGAACGAGTATTGTCAACTGGAACTCCCAGATGCTGCTGGTGGGAATGTGAAATAGTACCACCACTTGGAAACAATCGGGCAGTTTCCTAGAGAGTTCAATGTACCATATGTTCTAACCATAACTGCACTCTATAATGATTGCACAATGATGAAATCATCTAACAATACATTTCTCAGAACATATCCCCATCCGTAATCAATGCATGACTATTGTGAAGCTAAGAAATGTTTTACCATGTCTTAGATCTATTGCACCATAATCCTGAAAAACATATATTCATTTGTTCATTTTGTCATATGCAAATATCTGTCGATCAGCTATTTGACAGGCACCATGCTAGTCTCTAGTTATACAATATTATATAAAACAAACATGGGCTTTGCCACTGTGGGGAGTCTACAAAAAGGAAAGCATTAAGCAAGAAATAATTTCAGTCCAACCAGCGTGGCTCCGTGGCTGAGTGTTGACCCATGAACCTGGAAATCACAGTTCCATTCCAGGTAAGGACATATGCCCAGGTTGCTGGCTCAATCCCCAGTAGAGAATCCCCAATGATTCTCTCTCATCATTGATGTTTCTATCTCTCTTTCCCTTCCTCTCTGAAATCAATAAAAATAAAAATAACAGCCCTAGCCGGTTTAGCTCAGTGGATAGAGTATTGGCCTGCAGACTGTAGGGCCCTGGGTTCAATTCCAGTCAAGGACACATGCCCAGGTTGCCGGCTCGATCCCCAGTAAGGCGCGTGCAGAAGGCAGACAATCAATGATTCTCTCTCATCATTAATGTTTCTATCTCTCTCTCCATCTCCCTTCCTCTCTGAAATCAATAAAAATATATTTTTAAAAAATAAATAAAAATAACAAAATAAATACTTATAATCACATATGATGGAAAGGCTATGAAGAGTATAATTGAAAACAGGGTGGGGGGGATTATGAGAGCGCTATCAGGGTAACCCTCTCTCTGAGGAGGTGGCATTTGACCTGGGATCTGCAGGATGAGAACTCATTTGCAAAGAGTTGAGAGGGAGTTTGCAGAATATTCCAGGTAGGTAGCATGTGCATAGGCCTTTTAGGAGGCAAGGGGCTTGTTCCAGAGACGGAAAGAATGACAGGTGGCTAAAGCCTGGTGTATAAGAGGAGAGATCCAAGATGAGGTAGACAGTGTGGTAGACCCCACAACACCGATGTTTGGATTTAAACATTTACTACATTAGGTATTAAAGTAGAGGACTGTCTACCTTACCTCCAATTGCTTCTATTTACTCATTGCTTCTGCTTCCTCAAATTATGCTTTCCTCTACCCTTCCTCCCACAACCCACAGCACTCTTGACTTTTATTAAGGCAACTTTTCAGCTTCAACTGCAATTATGAACTACTTTATTCCCTATATTTCCCAATTCAAACCCTTGTAATAGAGAATCTGATTGATCCAGTTCAACATTTCTTACCAACCCATCTCGTGTGTAGGTTGCTGGCCAGGCTATGGAATTAGCTTGGTTTGGGGAAGTGCCCACCTCTTGTCCAATCAACTGCGTCTGGGGCATAGAGGAGAGTGGCTTCCTGGTCTGCATATACCTGGCATTTCATCCAGGGCTGCTTGCAGGGCTAGAAGAGTGTAAGTGGGAGGGACATGCACAGTGTCCCATGTATTCACTTTTCCGTGTATCTTTGCAATGAACTTCTATAGGAAAGAATATGTCGCTCCTCGCCTCATGAACCCCTGAGCCCCTGTGCTTAGAGGGAAATGAACATCAATAAAACGTGGGCCTTCTTGGTGGAAATCTGAGGAAGGGGACAGCTCCCCTCTCCATCTCCTCGTGAGGTCCCGCTAATCTGTTGGTGAGAGCTTGATTTTCACTGGGGGTCCTATTGGACCAAATGCTTCCTTTTCATAATAAATATTTTGCAATGCCCCCCTTTTGTCCCTAAAATAAGATTCATAAATATTTTTTATTTTTTTAAAATATATTTTATTGATTTTTTACAGAGAGGAAGGGAGAGGGATAGAGAGTTGGAAACATCGATGAGAGAGAAACATCAATCAGCTGCCTCTCGCACACTCCCTACTGGGGTTGTGCCCGCAACCAAGGCACATGCCCCTGACCGGAATCAAACCTGGGACCCTTGAGTCCGCAGGCTGACGCTCTGTCCACTGAGCCAAGCCGGTTAGGGCAGATTCATAAATATTTGACCTGGCCAGTTTGACTCTGTGGCATTGGCCCACGGACCAAAGGGTATCAGGTTCGATTCCTGGTCAAGAGCACGTACCTCAGTTGCAGGTTCCCCAGACCTGGTAGGGATGCATGCGAGAGGCAACCCATCAATGTGTCTCTCTCACATCGATGTTTCTCTCTCTCTGTCTCTCCTCCTCCTCCCTCCCTTACATTCTCTCTGAAAATCAATGGAAAAATATCCTTGAGTGAGGTGTTTTTTTAATATATTCATAAGTATTATAACCTATCTACTCACATAATTTCAAGAAAAATCAAATTAAGAGCTAACTATAATATAAAGGAGGAGAAACTTTTATAATAATATGTATTCTGACATTTTAAGACCTAATGAAATAGTCAGATCTTGTACCATACACAACATGAGTGTAACAGCTACAAATGCAGGCATAAAAGGGTGTGCTGTGCGTACAGCTCAAATACTACCCAAAGCATTTGCTGTCTGTGTCCTGACTTTCCAAAATGGTGAACGTTTTGGGCAAAGTCCTGACTAGAACAAAGTATAAGCATCCCTTGATAATACAAAACAGCCTTTGATTCTAGGCCAGAGAATTATCCTGAGTCCCCAACCTACGAAATTCCAGTAGCGGCCCCATTAATTTTAATAATTAAAAAAAAAAAAAATGCCACCAGCAAATTCCCAAAACAACCCCTAGAGGGCAGTATCTCTCCTTTGATCTAGCCATTAGCAGCGTTCCCTTCCTGGATTGTCTCTTCTTTCTGAGACAAGAGCAGCTGCATCACAAGCACATGTCACTTGCCCAAATACAACCACATGTGCTCATACAAACAGAGAAATAAGGTTTTCAGAGGTTTTTTGAAATTTTTTTCTCACTTTAAGTCAAGTTAGTTTTGCCTTTCTATTTTGTTGTTGTTAATTCTCACCCGAGGATATGTTCCCCATTGATTTTTAGAGAGAGAAGAAAGGAGGAAGGGGAAGGGGAGAGAGAAACATCCACATACCTACCAGGGGACCGAATCAGGAATCGAACCTCAACTCTTTGGGGCGCAGGCCAACGCTCTAACCACTGGGCACACCAGCCAGGGTAGTTTTGTCTTTCTTAAACTTCATATAAATGGAGTCATTTAGTGTATACACCTTTGTATTTGACTTCTTTGCCTTAACATAATGCTTTTTAGATTAATTCATGTTATGTGTGTCAGTTCATTGTTATTGTTGTTTATTGAATGGGATTGTACCATATGCATGAAACTCAATGTATCCATTTACTTCTTGGACCTTTGAGTTGTTTCCAGGTATGGGACATTATAAATAAAGCTGCTATAAGCATTAGTAGAGAAATATTTATATGTGCATATTTCTATTTAATTTCATAAGTAACTCTGCAACTGTTTTTCCAAAGTGGTTGTCCACGTTACATTCCCATCGCAATGTATTTGCATTCCAGCTGCTCCATACCCTCACCAGGACTTGCCATGGTCAGCCTTGCTGTTGTTTTACTCATTCTGGTAGGTGTGTAGTGGTATCCCATTGTGGTTTTAATTTGCTCTTCCCTGAAGACTAATGATTTTGATAATCTTTCCATGGGCTTATTTGCTACTCACATACCTCCTTTTGTAAAATGTCTGATCAAATATTTGCCCACTCTATTATTGAGCTTTTTCTGACTGATTATGAGTTCTTCATACATTCTGGAAATGAGTCCTTTGTTGGAGATATATATATGTATATATTGCAAATATGAGCAATCACAGTCCAAAGAAGCCAAAGGAATCCCTCCTTGAGCCAGTGCCTGAGTGGAGATGAGAATTGTCTCGGTTTCAGTTACAGCCAAAGCACCTGGCAATGAAGGCGTCACACTGCATTGCGGGATCCCACTGTGGAGAGATATTTATTTTTCATAAAAATGGCCCCTAAACATAACCAATCAGTTCCTTTGCTTTAATGTGTTCCATTGATTGAGAAAAACTTGCTGTGTTTGTCAGTCTCCGTAAAGGCACCTTTCTGGGTGATTTTCAAGGGTAATTTGAGCCATATGTGATTGTCACCTGGCTCTCCAACATAAATGTACTGGTAATGCTGGTAAAATGAACAATTCCACTCAACACTCTGCCATCAAAACCCCAAGTGGGACCCTAGCTGGTGTGCCCAGTGGTTAGAGCGCTGTGTGCCCCCCCCCCCCCCCCCGCCAGCTTGGAAGAGTCTCAGGTTTGAATCCTGCCAAGGGCATGTACCTGGGTTGCAGGTTGGATCCGAGCATGCAGGAGGCAACCAATTGATGTGTCTCTTTCACACTGATGTTTCTCTGTCTCTCCCTCTTCCTTCCTCCCTTCCACTCTCTCAAAAGAAAAAAAAAATCAATGGAAAAAATATCTTCCAGTGAGATTAACCAAAAACAAAAAACAACAGCAACCCAAGTGGGGAAGAGAGTGAGGAGTCACCATATCGTACCTGACCTCCTACAATAGCCATCATTTTAACTCCCTTGCTCTTTTCTTGTAAGCCCAAAGGGAGCTATCTGATCACAGAATGAGAAGTTCTGCTGATCTCTACTCCAACAGGAGAATCTCAATGCATGTGAAAAATGCATATAGATTTATATAAATTATACATATTAAATATGTCCATAGAAAAGTATCTATATATAATATATCTATATCAAATATATAGATACCTATATCCATATGGATATATTATACATACACACACATACACACTAGTTTGTAAGTTTTAAATATATATATATACACAGTCAAATTTTCAGTAAAAAATTCATATATAACTTTTGATTCCCCCCAAACTTAACTACTAATAGACTACTGTTCACCAGAAGTCTTACTAAAACGTAAACAGTCAATTAACACTTTCTTAAATGTTATATGTATTATATACTGTATTCATACAATAAAGTAAGCAGAAAAAAGAGCGAGAGAAATGGTAAGGTGAAAGTCAATTTTAGTTTTTTTGTGTGGGTTTTTTTTAATATATATTTTTATTGACTTCAGAGAGAGATAGAAACATCAATGATGAGAGAGAATCACTGATTAGCTGCCTCCTGCACACCCCCTAATGGAGATGGAGCCCGCAAGCCCGGCATGAGCCCTGACCGGGAATTGAACCGTGACCTCCTGATTCATAGGTCAACACTCAACCACTGAGCCACGCTGGCCAGGCCAATATTTGTCAGTATTTGAAAAAACTGGGTGAAGGGTCTATGGGGATTCTTTGGACTACTCTAACAGATTTCCTGTAAGTCTGAAATTACGTGGAGAAGAAGGCTAGTGGCGCTCCTCTTGCTCAGTAGAAGTGGTAGCAGTTGTAGCATTTCTTTTACTGGGCACTTACAAGGTGCCAGATGATCTCATCTGACCCCTCAGCTGCCCCATTAAGAGCTGTCATCGAGCCCATTTTGCAGAGAAGAATCCCGACATCAGACACAGGAAGGGACTTGCCCTGATCACACAGCCTGTGGCCTGTACGTGGCAGAGCTGGAGTCTGAACTTGAGTCTGTCTGACTCCTCACTCCCAGAAATCATCACCATCTTCTCTGCAACAAGGTCACAAATGCCCTCCAACTACATCTGAGACTGTGCAAAGAAAACCTGGCTTCATCACTCTCTGTAGAGCAACTGAGCCAGAGGGGTCAGGGTGCAGAGCTAAATTTAGTTCAATCCAGTTGAAAACTTGGTCTAATTCAACAATTTAAATATTCTCTTGAGGTTTCTTGAGTTCGGAGAAACTTGGTCTCAGTATAATTGCTCTGTCTTTCAAATGCTTCCTCTCCACCTCCTGCTTCTCCCAATATGAAGGCTGGTCAGGGTGGGAAGATTCCATGGTTGGGTGCAGCTGCCATCTGCTGGGATCTAGGTGGCTTGAGCCAGTCACTGGTTTTCAGCGATGGCTGGTGACGGGTGAACTGGTCTGGCCTCCTGCGGACTCACTGAGGCCTAGTGGAGATGCAGCTCGCTGTGATTCTGAGGTCATCTCTGGGGTTCTTATCTTGTCCTGTTTCTAGGCTTTGAATCCACGACCACCTTGCCCCCACCAGGTTGGGTCCTAAAACAGGCCTCGTGGCTCCCAGGTCAATGTCTTCAGAACTACGGGAGGCTCAAAAGCAGGACTGAGATGCAGGTGTGCGCTTTGTTATTAGGTTAATTGAACGCTCCCCCCTGGCTTCCCCCTGGCTGGGAAAGAGCTGCGGTCTCCCTCCTCCACTCCGGCTGCCTCTGGCATATCCCCAGGTCCCTCTCATACCAGACACTAAAGCAGTGGTTCTCAACCTTCCTAATGCCTTGACCCTTTAATACAGTTCCTCATGTTGTGGTGACCCCCAATTTCATTTACAAATTGAACATAATTAAAGCATAGTGGTTAATCACAAAAACAATATGTAATTATATATGTGCTTTCTGATGGTCTTAGGTGACCCCTGTGAAAGGGTCGTTTGACCCCCAAAGGGGTCGCGACCCACAGGTTGAGAACCGCTGCACTAAAGGGTTAACACCTGGTACAGCAGGTCGCCTCCAAGACTCTGCTCAGGCCCCAGGCCCCACACCCCTCTGATGGTCTGACGTTAGGTATTTTGAACTCCCCCACTCCTTTCGAAGCCTGGCCACCCAGGGTTCCTTCTCTTCCTCCACCTCTACCCGAGACTTCTCTGAAAAGTCTGAGGACAGTGGACAAGAGCTCTCCGCCCTTGGGGTTCCTCTCAACTTATCCCACACGCCTGCCCCCTTCTGGGCTCGATCTCAGGGTGAAGATGGCCCAACACTGAGGGTCTCTCAATGGCCTTCCTCCCAAGCTGAAGTCTATGCTAGAGGCTAGAACAGCTAAACCAGAGGTTCTCAACCTTCCGGTCCTTTAAATACAGTTCCTCATGTTGTGACCCAACCATAAAATTATTTTCGTCGCTACTTCATAACTGTAATGTTGCTACTGTTATGAATCGTAATGTAAATATCTGATATGCAGGATGGTCTTAGGCGACCCCTATGAAAGGGTCGTTCGACCGCCAACGGGGTCTCGACCCACAGGTTGAGAACCCCTGAGCTAAACACTTCCTCCCCGGCCTTCGCTGCATCAGGAGCAGCCATGTGACCCAGGCTGGCCCGTGAAAGGTAAGGAGAAGTCTGTGAGGGAGCTTCCAGGGCAAGTTTTTGTTTTCCTGATAAAAGTGAGAAACTAGCCCATGCCAACCCTCCCCCCACTTCTTGCTTTAAAGTTAAACAATGATATGAGGCCTGAAGTTATGTGACCCAAGAGGACCCCAGAGATGCTTGCCCTGACATGGTTGCTACCTACCTCCAGATTTTCTTTTAAAATCCTCACATGAGGATATGTTTTAGAGAGAGGAAGAGAGGGAGAAAGAGAGAGAGAGAGAGAGAGAGAGAGAGAGATCGGTTGCCTGCAGCAACCTGTAGCTTAGGTATGTGCCCTGAGAATTGAACCTTCAGCCTTTGGTGTAGGGGACAGTGCTCCAACCAATGGAGCCACCCAGTCAGGCCTCCTCCTCCAGATTTTTTACGTGAGAAAAAGAAGTTCCTGAAAATTGAGTTTTCTGTTTTTTCAGCCCAACTCAATCCTGATACAGGAAGATTAGAATGCGTCTCTGTCTACCCACCTCCCCAACTCTGCTCAGGCATCTCCCTGGTTTGCTGTCCCCACAGTTCCCTGGGCCTAGGAGGGCAGAATGTTCCTCTATTCCTCCTCCCTGTTTATATGAAAACTTTGCTTTCATCAAATCCTTATTTTCTACCTGGGCAGGCTCTTAAAATGCTAAGACAGGAGATAAAGGAACATAGGAAAGTCCTTTCACTCTCAATAGGATCTACCTTTCAAGCCTAATGCACCACCTCGTTCTGCATGCCAGAATTGTGGCTTTAACTCTATTATTAATTCTTATTATAATTAACTCACTTTCTTGATAATTCTTGTGATTATTACAATTAACTCCTATTATGAACTCTGCCTTTCTTCTTGCATTCCTTCTATAAAGTTCTAATCTCCTGATATGATAATTATCCCTGCTTTATGGATAAGGAGACTGGGGAGGCTGAGGGAAATTGAGCAATTTTTTTCCCAAGCTGGACAGAGCAAATGTGATACAGGCAAGACCGGAGCCATTTCCAATGGTCATTAATGCCCGCTCTCCTCGGGCACTTCACTCCCTCCACCAACCATCCCACCATCTCTTCTATATCATGGACCGCCCCTCTCCCCTCCCCAGCCCTGGAGGAGGTGGGGGTAGAGGGTGGTGAGCAAGAAGCAAGAGGAGACGATGGGCAGCATGTATTTTATGAAGAGCAAGTGTGCCAGCCTCAGAACCAGCTACACATTCTCTGGCTTATGGGGCACTGGAGGCTTGAGTCCATAGGGGATACAGCACAGGGAGGCATCTGGGCACAGGTGCATGAAGGTTTCATACTTGGTGCAGTAAGTCCGGCAGGCTCCCTGGCCATTCCAGCACCGTTTGAATTCGCTTCTCCCTGTGTAGAGGAAGACCACAGGTCACAGGATAGCCCGGGGGTCATAGGTTAGGCCACTGTTAACATATATAACCACAGATCAAAGGTGAGGCCACAGGTCACAGGTTAGACCACTGACCACAAGTTAGTCCACAGGGCCCAGGTTAGATCATAAGTTACCAGTTCGCTTTCTAGTTATGTGTTAGATGACTGGTCATAGAGCAGTCCACAAGTCATAAGTTAGGCCACAGTACATGAGCTCTGACCACAGGTCAAGGGTTAAACTAGAGGTAACGGGCTAGACTCCCAGAGACAACTAGCTACAATTTAGACCACAAATCTCAGTTCAGGTTAGCCCACAGGTCACAAGTTAGACCACTGGTTATAAGTTAGAGACCAATTTCTTGTCCAGATTAATCCATACCCCAGGTACACTCTAAGCACTTTTCAAAATAACACTCTATTATTGTAGTTGGTCTTTCATTAACTGTATAACAACCCCTATTATACAGTTAAGGAAACTGAGGCACAGAAAGATTAACAACTTTTCCCACGGTTACATGGCTATTAAGGAGCAGGGTGAGGATTCAAACTCAAGCAATCGGCCTCACACACTTAACGGACCTGTTTAATATTAAAATTTAGTGAAAGAATTTCCGTAAATGGTAAGGCTTTGGGGGACTGGGACCTGTACCCTCTCTGAGGGTCTTTGGTCACAGCAGGCGGTGGGGAAGCATCTGCATTTATTCATTCAGCAAACATGAGGCACTGGCCGTAGAGGTGGTAAGTGCCCGGAAGGAAGTAATGGGAGCCCAACTGCCCATTAGGGCAGGTGTGGGAACGTGGGGAGGGAGGAGGAGCACTTCTACAAGGCCTGTCTGTTACAGCGATATTTCTACACATACAACCCAGCAACTCAGAAGAACTGGGCTGAATGGGAGGTGGAGGGGAGGAATGCCTCTCCCTGAGTTAAAAGAGAGTCCTCAGAATCTTTACGTGATACCCGTGGGTGTTATTCAGCCCTGTCAACCTTTATCTTGCCAAGGTAGAGAACTTAGCACGATACAGAGCTGATCTCAAAATCTCCCTGAGGCAGAGAACCCACAGGCTGAAGAGGATCTGCAGTATACTGATTAACGGGGTGGTGTGCACCCAGCTCAGACCCCCTGAGTCCAAATTCCAGCTCTGCCATTTCCCAGCCGCGTGGCCTGGGCCTCAGGTTCCTCATCTGTACATCCCTCCTTCAGAAGGCAGTGAAAGGGGCTTTAATCATTTTAGCACAGTGGCCGGCAGGGAGTAAATACTCAATAAATGAAATGGCAAGTGATTTCATCAGAATGACAGCTTAGCGAGTTGAAGCAACCAAGGCTCAGTCTAGGCCAACCCTCTCATTTTACAGATAAAGAAAAGAAGGGACTTGCCCAACTTCTCCGGCCCAGTAAGTGGTGGGGCTCGTACCAGAATCCAAGACCCTGACTCCCAGCTGAAGGCAGTTCCTACAACAACTACTGTTAATCACATTTCAACCTTCCAACCACCCTGAGATACAGCCGCTGTTTTCTCCTACATGATCTGCTATCCCTTCCTTTGACTTCATCTCCCTCCACTTTTCTTCTTGTTCTCCCCACTCCAGCCACACTGGCCTCCTCGCTGCTCCTGAAACATGTCTGTCTATCTATCTATCTATCTATCTATCTATCTATCTATCATCTATCTATCTATCTATCGCCTATCTATCTATCTATCTATCATCTATCGCCCTCCTGCCTCCTTCATCCTTGCTGCTCCCTCTGTCTGGGATGATCATCCCTATATAATAAGTCCTCACTTAACATCATCAATAGGTTCTGTGACTTTAAATGAAATGTATAAAGACATCAAGTTTACCAAGGGCTAATTGATATATACAAGAGTTAAGTTCCCACAGCACCTCATCAGCCTTATAACCAAATAACGTTAATCAGAACCTGCTGTATTCTCACTGTAGTCAGATCATTGCTCAAACCTACCTTATATAAAATGATAAGAGATCTGAAATTTACTTCAAAATAATTCACTGGGCAGAAGGGGCAAGTGAACAACAAAACAGGACTGGTTCAAGTTGATAATTGTTGAGGTTGGGTAATGGATATGGGGAGTTTTCTATAGCATATTTCTAAATTTAGGTTTGAAGTTTTCTCAAATAAAATGATTTTTTTTTTAAAAAACTCACATCATTACGTTTTTCTCTATTTTTGCATGTTTACCTTTTTCCATTATAAAAGGTTTTTTAAAGCTCACTTGTTCCTTATATTATTCTGTCTACTTTCAGGTACATTTGAACTAAAAACTTAAAAAAAAGAACTTATCAGCCCTGATCAGTTTGGCTCAGTGGATAGAGCGTCGGCCTGGGGACTGAAGGGTCCCGGGTTCGATTCCGGTCAAGGGCATGTGCCTTGGTTGCGGGCGCGTTCACAGTGGGGGGTGTGCAGGAGGCAGCTGGTCGATGTTTCTCTCTCATTGATGTTTCTGATTCTCTATCCCTCTCCTTTCCTCTCTGTGAAAAATCAATAAAATATATATTTTTTTAAAAAGAACTTATCAGAGGCCTTTCAGCACTTCCACCACCCCATGCACACACCACACTAACCCTCTGCCCTGCGTTTATTCTTCTTAGCCCTTATGACCACCTGAAAGAGTATATGTTTATTTGGTTCTTTTCTGTCTGCACTAACTAAAATATCAACTCCATGAAAGCAAGGACCTTGCTTTCTCTCACTACTGGATCCACAGCAATTGCACTAGTGCCTGGCACACAGTTAATATTTTTCAAATGAACATTTGTTGAGTGAATCACATTTTAAAGATTAGGAAACTGAGGTGCAGGCTGATCTAGCAGCCCATTCTAAGCTGCTCAGAAAGCCAGTGATGGGGCCAGAATTTAAACATTGGTCCAGGCCTCCTCTCTTCCCCAGGAGGTGAGAACCTACTCCTTGTTTCTACATACACACACACACACACACACACACACACACACACACACATGCGTGATGTTACCTGGAGGCACATGACCCAGGACCAGGAGAAACACAATGAGCAGAAGCAGCTGTGTCATGGCCACAGGGCTTCGGGGAGGCCACTGGGGAGAGAACACAAGAGGAGAGGAGCCAAGCCCACCAAACCTGGCTGCCTGGGGCCCAGCCTTTATTCAACTGCAGATCAAGGCAGGAGCGTGGGCAGCAGGAGACTTAAGTGGGTGTCTGAGGCCTGTGGTCTCCAGGATGCAGCTGGATCTCAGCCAGCTCTGTGGGGAACTGGCTGGACACACTTCCAGAGGTTGCTGAGCTCTGAAACTGGGGACAGAATCTCCTGAAGCAATGTCTGGGGTCAGAAACTGGACAGCTTCCCCACCTGAGAGGGTAGGGAAAGCCTTGGCTTCAGAGAGACCTGCTTCAATGCCAGCAACTCCCTCTAATTGCTGTGGTACCTTGGACAAGTCACTTAGCCTCTCTGAGCCCCAGGCTATCATCTAGGTCCTAGATTCTAGGAAATGATCGAAAGCACCCCTTGCAAAGCTAAATACGTGGAGGATTCCTTTCCTGAAGCCAAGGAGGTGAAACCAGAACCCACTGAGCTGTCCAAACAGCTATGCAGGAAATGAGAAGAGTAATAGTTCCCCCCAAACAGAGAGTAATTGTTACCTAGCTCGTTTAGAAGATTAAACAAAATAATACAAAGTGTGGCCCGGCTGGTGTGGCACAGTGGTTCAGCGTCGACCTATGAACCCGGAGGTCACAGTTCAACTCCCGGTCAGGGCACATGCCCAGGTTGCAGGCTCGATCCCCAGTGTGGGGCGTGCAAAAGGCAGCCAATCAATGATTCTCCGTATTAATGTTTCTATCTCTCTCTTCCTCTCTGAAAGTAATAAAAATATATTTAAAATAATAATAATAATACAAAGTGTGGCACCCAGGCCAGCAAGCAGCAGCAAGAAACACCTGGGGCTTGTTAAAAGCGAAAATTCTCAAGCTCTACCCCAGCGGTTCTCAACCTGTGGGTCGAGACCCCTTTGGGGGTCGAACGACCCTTTCACAGGGGTCTCCTAAGACCATCAGAAAACACATGTATAATTACATATTGTTTTTGTGATTAATCACTATGCTTTAATTATGTTCAATTTGTAACAATGAAAATACATCCTGCATATCAGATATTTACATGATGATTCATAGCGGTAGCAACATTACAGTTATGAAGTCGCAACGAAAATAATTTTATGGTTGAGGGTCACCACAACATGAGGAACTGTATTAAAGGGTCGCGGCATTAGGAAGGTTGCAAACCACTGCTCTGCCCAAACCTACTGAATCCAAAGCTTGGGAGTGGTCTCAGCAGACGATGGCTTAAGAAGCCCTCCGACTGATTCGAGCATTTTGCTAACGTGTGAGAATCCCGGAGATAGAGCATGTGTGTGCAGAGCTTAGAACAGCGTCTGGTACACAGGCGTCTGAGTTGCATCTTGAAAGATGAGGAGAGGAAAGTATTCCAGGCAGAAGAAACATAATGTGCCTGGGAGTGTGGGGCATGGCCAGAGCAAGGAATGTGTTGAGAGGAGATTGGAAATGACCCTGCAAAGGACGGTTTCTTTTTAAAACTCACATCATTACATTATTCTGTATGTTTGCATGTTTACATTTTTCCATAATACAATGTTTTTCAACAGCTCGTGTTGTTTCTTATATTATTCTTTCACTGTCATGTACATTTGAAATAACAAATGTTTAAACTTTTTTGAGACCTTTCACCTCTCCCACCACCCCACCTGCACCACTACGCTAACCCCTTGCCCTGCTTTTACCAGTATTTACCATGGGCCTTGAGTACTGAGTTCAGGCTTTTCTATTGTAGACACTGGAAGTTTTGTAGCAAAGGTGTAACCTGTTTAGATTTCAGTTTTATTTTTTAATTTATTTTGTATATATTTTTTATTGATTTCAGAGAGAAAGGGAGAGGGAGAGAGAGATAGAAACATCAATGATGAGAGCGACTCATTGATCAGCTGCCTCCTGCACGCTCCCTAGTGGGGATTGAGCCTGCAACCGGGCATGTGTCCTTGACCAGAATTGAATCCGGGACTCTTCAGTCCGAAGGCTGACACTCTCTATCCACTGAGCAAAACCGGCTAGGGCTTTAATTTATTTTTTATAAAATTTATTGGGGTGATGTTGGTTAATAGGATCATATAAGCTTCAAATATACATTTCTATGATACATGACCTGTATATTGCATTGTGTGCCTACCACCCAAAGTCAAATCATCTGTCACCAAATATTTGGAGATTTGAGTTTTAAATAAAAAAAAAGAAATCCAGCCCTGGCGGGGCTCAGTGGTTAGAGCACTGGCAAAGAGTAGAGGATTTGATTCCAGTCAAGGGCATGCACTCAGTTGCGGGTCCCCCAGCCCCCGTGGGAGCACCTGTGGGAGGCAACCAATCAATGTGCCTCTCTCACATTGATGTTTCTCTCTCTCTCCCGCTCCTCCCTCCCTTCCAGTCTCTCTGGAAATCAATGGGAAAAAATATCCTTGGGTGAGGGTTCTCCCTCCCCCACCACCTCGGGTGAGAATTAAAAAAGAAAGAAACCAAAATCCAAAGAACAGAGGTGGAGCTAGAACTTAAACTTGCCTCACTCCCAGACAATGTATGACCCTGCACCACTCCCAGCCCATCTTGTAGGTGGGGAAGGAAAACTTAGAGGGCCAAGCCACAGAAGGAAGCCAGGCGTGAAGGGGCTCAGCGGCTGTGGGAGTTGCCCTGAGCTGGACACTTGGACCCCTTCAGCCATGACAATGAGCCCCACCCACAGGTACAGCCAGTCTCCAGGGGCCTCACATACATACCTGCTCCAGTCCCTCATGACCTAAACGGAAGCGCCCTCCCCAAGAGCTTAGATCCGGGCCCATGGATGGCCGAACTCACTTACCTACAGCCAACTTCTCTTCCATAACCAAGACCACAGTGTGTCTTTCCTCCTCCTACATGCCTGGGAAGAGATTTAAAAAAAAAAAAAAAAAAAAAAAAAAAGCTACGGACCCGTGATAGAAAGGGACAGTAGGCTGAGAGGCCCCTGAGTCTCAGGCCCAGGTAAGCCTGGGTATGTCCATCTTTAGTGTTGCGTAGGGATTAAATGAGCTATGAATCCAGGCAGAGTGCTCAGACCATACCAGGCGGGCACAAGTGCTCAGTAAATATGAATCAGAGCGTGGGCAGCCATTCTTCCGGGTACAGGACAGCCCAGCTGCATAACGGGTGCTTAACCTAGAATGTGGTGAGTGAATGAATGATGCAAAAATAAGATATCCAGAACTCCCCAGCAGACTTCCT